TTGGAGAGCATTAAAGCACCTCCCAAATGACAGCTTCTCCACTCTCTGGGAGTAAATAACACAAGCACAGCTCTCAGAAGATACCTTCAAAGGGTTAATCTATGCACCATGTTAACTTAGCAGTAAATGTTATGAATTTATGTCTTGAGTTTCTTCCATGCACACTTCATGTGTTAGACAAGGAGTAGCATTTGTAGGGTTCTTACCTGCACCATCAGAAGACAGTCACTTCTCAAGTATGAGGCATTACCTCTGCTGATACAGAAGATGGTTTTAGGCAGACCATTAGCACAGCATTATATACAGGGGGATCCAAGAAAATGTATACACATTTCAAGAAAGGATAAAACTGTATTAAAATTGTAATACTCAACATATATCTATAACCAAAGATGAATACAAGTCATGTTTGACTTCTGCAATTACAAGAGGTGCTCAAAGTGGTTACCATCAGCATCCAGACATTTCCGATTATGGCAAACTACTGCTTGAGCAACGTTGACCAAAGTGTCCACTTGTATACATTTTTGGCACCCCCAGTATATATTATATAATAACATATAATACATATATTATCTATTATATATAACATATAGCCTATATAACATATAATATGTAACATCATATATATACACATATATTATATATATAATATATTTTATATATATATATATATATATATATATATATATATATATAACATGAGTGAGAAAGTTATTCCATATTCAGTTAAACTTCAAGCCCTCTGATTAGGTCATGCTAGTATTCCTTTAAAACCTCTCTAACACTCCTTAATCTCCCTTTTTCACAAAGGTCCTCAGCTCCAAAGCCTTGTACAAACATCCCCAACTAGAATTTAAAGTATTTTGTTTTCACTGTATAATATTTATGTTTGCAGTTTTCTTCTATCTCTGGCAAGTTTTAACATTTATAGTACACATATAAGTTTCTTTTGGGATAACCTTATTTATGTAAAGAAGGGTAATTTGCTTTAAATGAAATATTCAATAATAACACAGGAGGTACGTGGATAAAATCAAAATTGTTTAGGTAGTACCAAAATGACGAAAACTTAGAGAACATCAACTAAGGTAATATCCACATAGAATACACCAGAGAGCATCTTCTCTCCCAACTTTTCAGAAAGTTCATGATGTCTACAGAGGTCTAGCCAGGCATTAATCACAGGTAAAGTATTTGACCTGCCTATGCCTCAGTTTCCTCATAAGAAAAGCAAAGTTAACAAATACCCATGCTGTAAGGTTAATGATGTCTGTAAGTGTTTAGCAGAGTGCCGGGCGTATAGAAAATATTCACGAAATGTGGGTGACGGCAGCTGTTGCTGCTGGTCCTGATTCAGCCATTCGTTTGGGGCAGCTTCTGGACACCTTGCCCCTCTCCACCATGCTCTGTGCCCAGGAGGTGCCCTGGGTGGATCCCATCACTGGGCTCCCCGCCCTTGGGGCTCCATTTGGGTTTGGCCAAAGGGAAGCCTTTCGAGGAGATTAAAGGATGGAAGGAAAGTGGGGTCAGGGATTTGCTCGGTCCTCACACTGTCTCACTCCCTACAGGTAACCTCAGACTCAGGTTTAAGCCCAAAGCCAAAAACGAAAAGTTAGGCTAACACATACTTTAGCTAGAATTTTTGACACAGTCTTCCCATCTTCACGCTTTTCTTAGTTATAGAAAACCTGGCTTGAGGCTACTTTCTGAAACCGCTTGGTATAAAAACTCTTAATCCTAATGACATTTGCTATTTAGTCTAATGATAAATCTTGATGCTGCTGTAAGGACAAACAGGCCATCTGAAGTGTTCTGTCTGTGAGAGACATTGATAAAATCAATCAGTGCCCTCATCACATTGCTACATTGTTTTTATTTGGTCTAAATATAAATCAAGATATGTTTAAAAATACACACGCTTATGTAAAACAAATTAAAACACCTCTAATCCTACGAGCACCACTTGGTAAACTCTCATACAATTTTATGTATTATATATAAAACATATATATATATATATATATATTTTTTAACACAATTGGGACCATTTCCTTTCATTCATTCTCTAACTCAACAAGTGTTGATGTCTCCCCTCTTCCAAGGCCCAGCAATGAGCAAGGTGGACAAAGTCTCTCCCTTCATGGAGCTGACATCTTATTGGGAAACATAGGCAAGCAAACATATTTTCACTCCTCACAATCATCTTATGAGACAGACACTGTTACTATCCCAATTTACAGGGAGCTAAACTGAGACTTCATGTAGTCTAGCAGATTGTCTAGACACACAGCTAGTAGGTAGCAGAATTCGGATTCAACCCCAGGTCGATCTGATAACAGACTGACCTTTTAACTCCTAAATATCTTAGTACCATATACTGATCTTTCTTTACAAAATAGTACTAGGGCCTAAAAAGTTGGATTAGCTCCCCCGAATAACACATTTATTTCAAGGACATAGTTTCTTGACTTCTATCATGAAGTTTATTTGTGGAAAATGATTCATTACTATTTTGTCATATTTAAATGAAGCAGGACCTCAAGTCCAACTTTTAAACTTGTTTAGTGTACTTGTTTTAAATAAGATGATCAATATTCCTTAAAACAGACATGAGACACACTATAGAAAGGTCAAGCTCAAGGTTCTGGAAACGGACAACCCGGCTTACAATCCTGATTCCTCTACTTGCTAACTCATGACTCTAAGCAATTTTATTTAACCTCTTCGTGCCTCAGTTTCCTCAGCTGTAAAATGAGAATAGGATTAGCATCTATTTCACAGTGCTGTTGTCAGGATAAAATGAGTTAATACATGCAAACTTGGAAAAATACTTTGCATATAAATGCTTCAATAAATGTTAGGTTTTTTACTATTATTATTTTAACAAATGAGTCTAAAAGTTTTGATATTATGTTGTCTAATTTCCAATTGAGATGTTTTTACATGACTATTCTTTTCTTAAATGCTTCCCCTCCTAATGGCCTTTTAAAAAGTCTATTTCTGATTATAGTATAAATGACAGCTACTATCTCATAGTTCAAATTATAGAGTATCTTTAGCCCCTGACAAATACATAAGATCAAGAGAACAGAATCCATATTTTGTATTTTTTTAATTCCCCACAAGACCTTGCTCAATACCTGGTGTATTACTTAAAAATTACTCTTTAAATGAATGAATGAAATAGATACCAGATTGAATGTTAACAGAAAGTTGTATCTGCCACAGTCAACCTGACTTATTTATTTGTAACAATTCCTCCAATTTCTAATTCAAACCCAAACACTTGAGTCTCCTTATTCCAAATTTTCTCATTGATATTGAAACAGCTATAGATATTGTGTTTGTTTGCTTGTTTGTTTATACATCCATCTTATTAAGATGGCTTACTTAAACTGGCTTACATGGATATATGAAATTCAAAATGGAAAATAATTAAAAATAAGAAGGAAAGAACAAGGAAAAGGAACGATAGGTATATAAACAGTTAGGAATAGGGTTAAAATACTCATGCCATAAAACTTCTATAAGTGGGTCCCAAATTCCCCTAAATTTTCTAGAGCCAACATGAGAAGGTCAGCTAGTGAGTTACATAATTTCCACCAACCCCTGGATGAGGAGATCAATTACTCAGAAGATTCATCTACTCTTAGTAGTAGACCCTTTAGGACATTCTCCACAAAACTCATACCTAACAAATACCATTCACAATAGCATCTTTAGAGTATAAGAGTCCCCCTCAGCATAGATCATGGGATTTTGATGAAAAGTCATTCAGTCACGCCATGAGGAAAAGCTAACCAGAGCAAGTCAGATGTGCGGTGCCCTTAGGTAGGAAAGAAACACACGCCAAGTTATCCTTATGGGGCTTATCGTTTAAAATAAAAAAGAAGTCTATTTCTGTTGGTATATCAAATTTACTATTTTCCTTTCCAGGTCACTGTTTCTAATACTCTAGGTGAGCGGTTTGGAATATCTCTATAGTAATCAAACATAAATACAGTCAATCTGGGAAATTGTCCTCCAGTCTGCTTAAGTCTTGCATAGTGACTCCCACCCTCTACCCCTTCTGAGTCATGAGGGAGGATATGAGAAGTAGCCCCCTCCCCATCATCAGAAACTTGGAGATGTTTCTTTAAAATATGCATTCCCCTTAACATCGTGGAGATTTGGTTTGATATGATATGAATAAAGAAGCTTCTTTCTCCTGAACTCATAGCAGATGATATTCTAAGTCAGACAGATCTAGATTTAAATTCTGGCTCTGGCACTGTCCATGTTACCTTGTATCTCTGGATCTCAGTTTCCTCATTTTAAAATGGGCATTAAAATACTGTTTAACATCATGTTTATAAGGATAATTTCATATAAAACCTCTCACCCATAAAAAAACACTCAAAACATTATACCTCTAATTGTCTCTTACTTAGCTGAGTCCCAAGTATACTTCAGATAATGCATAGGTTTGTTGAATGAATGAATGAATGAATGAATGAATGAATATTACCATACAGAAGTCGTTAACAATCGACAAATCTGTCTAAATATTTGAAATCATCATACCATGGCAGTTAAGAGCATGGGCTCAGGAGTCAGGTTGCCTGGGTTTGAATCCTGACACCATCACTAATTATCTGTGGGGATAACAGAGAAGTTGTTCAACCATTCTGCCTGAGTTTTGTCATCTTCAAATGGGATAATGATTATAACCTCCATACAGAGGTGTTGTAGGAACAATTAGATGGGAGTTATAAGTACTTGGCATCATTACTGGGACATAGTTAAGCATTCAGTAAGGATTACTATTATTATTTATTTTATATAAATATAAATATAATATCACAAAACTTGATTTGTTTTGCAGCTTTTCCCTGGTTCCTGTGCTATGGGATCTTGGGATTTTCCAAAAGGCAAACCAAATAGTTGTATAAACTAAATGACTTGTTTCTAGAATTCACACTTCTTTCACTGCTTTATCTTTCTGCTTGTTTCTGTAGGACTTCATCGTCACCGTAGTCTTTTCGTTCTTGTGGTTGGTGGGTTCATCCGCTTGGGCAAAAGGACTGTCTGATGTCAAGGTCGCAACGGATCCCAAAGAAGTATTGTTACTGATAACAGCTTGCAAACAGTCATCCAACAAATGTATGGCTGTCCACAGCCCTCTAATGTCCAGCTTAAACACTTCTGTGGTATGTGTTTACCTATGCTTTACCTCCAAATCATTGTTTGCCAATCAAGTGAATAAAACCTCTCAGAAGTCATCCTGGGAATTTCTGCCTCCAAAACGAGGCCAGGCTAAAAGGTGATATTTTACTCCATGTGCAAGATGATCCTTTGGCCTTGAAGTTTCCATTGTCAGAACCCGTAGACTTCAATGCTGCCAATTGTGGAGTTCTTAGTAAGGACCCAGTAGTTATTGGCAGCCGTTGCTTGGGTGACAGTCAAGTCAAAATTCTCAGCCAGAAGAAGTTGTCAAGTCTGAACTTTAAGGCTGAAGCCTGCCAGAAGTTAAAAAGGAATATTTGATGGAGTAAAGGTTTCCTGCGAAGAAAACATGGTTCAAGCCACAGATAGTTAGAATACATAATACATCCAATTGATTGAAGAAAAATACTTAGACTTAGCACAGTACAGAAAGAAATGCATCATATAAAAAAGCATTGATCATTGTTATGGTAATTTTTGTCTTCTCCGTGCTCCCATTTTAGTTGCTTGATAATTTCAGAAAAGCTGACCTATCTTAGTTGAACAAAGTCAAATGTTATCAAGTGGATAACTCTTACAGGAAGACAGTCTGACAGATAGATAACAGGGTTGCTAAGTTGGATTCTTATTTTATGAGCCTAAGAACTTGTGTAATTCCAAAGAAAGAAACTGTGTCGGAGAAAACAGAAGCCATAAGGCAGCAAAGAGCAGTAGTTATTGAAGAATAAGTGGCTCGGCAGTATTTGCTGAAGGAACAACACTCTTTAGCGACCCCTAAAAATAATTATCTTTGCTTCAAGGTTAACTTGCGTTTCTACAGCTTTCTGAAATTTAACCTGAGAAGTCATGTGAGAAGGGAAAGAGGATTGCTCATTGGCTCCTGATGATTTGACCATGAATCTTGCCTTGGTAAAATAGCAAACAAGGACAGAAATTATGCATGAATGTTTCACAGTCATTTTTATTTGTTGCTGCCCACACCTGTGGATGAGTACTTTGAGGTGGACACTAAAATGTATTCCATGGCTTCTGTAGTGTGTTTATAGGCAGTACTTAATAAAAGTAATTGAAACCATAGTTTCAAAATCTAAGAGAACAGATAAAATCATTTGATATATTTGTTAGTTTAATGAATAATCTTCTATATAAGTTATGACAGGCTGCATAGTCCATTTAATTCCACTTCTGATGTCTCTAAGAAGTTTTAGACTAGGAGATATGAATTTTGAATGAGAAACAATGTAATGTGCTTCTTAAAACTAAAACCGAGAATGGATGGAAACCAAATAATATGGCTGCATAAGGACAGGACTCGTTCTGTTACAGTTATGGGTCCATATCCGTTAAGGGTCTTCCAGTTCTAGTGACAGAAAACTCAGTTCAAACTGGCAAAAGCAAGATAATCCTCCTATCCCTCAAGTTTGTTCTTTGCATTTTCTACTACTAGTGTCTGTATGCATTAAAACATTTGGGCTGCAAGTAACAGAAACTGACTCTGACTAACTTCATCAGGAAAAAAATCTTTGGAAGGAAATCAAGTAGCTCAGAAAATTGATGAGACCTGAAGAAACCGGCTCTAAGAAAGGAGGATCTAGAGCAGGACAAAGGTTCTAGAGGTCAGATACCAAATAATGGTCTCATCAAGTCGCTATTAATGTCAGCTAGTGGCTAACTTTGCATTGCTCTGCCTCAATATTCAGAGTTCCAGGAGAGAGCTCAAGTCACTTGACTGCAACTTGGCTCTGCAAAGGAAATCAAATTTCTTCTACCAAAAGCAGAGGAAACGTATATTCATCTGCCAAAACACAAATTTTTTTTCATTTGGCTTCAAATTATATTGAGCTAGCTTTTGACAAAAAGTGAAAGTAATTGGAAAAACACTAAAAATGTGTCTTCAAGGACAGAACCCAGGGCCAGGAACTGGAAGGCTGGCAGGAAACTGGACTGTTCTCATACTCCTTTCCTCATCCCGGATCCTTTCTGCATGTCTGTTACCTTAGTCTCTCTTTTCAGATGGATTTTTGTCTCTTTTGCCTGCTCACACAAGAGAAGATAGCCACCTACAGTTTCTGAGTTGATATTTCTTTTTAAAGTAATACCTTGGACTGAACAGAAATCACTCAGGCCCAACCCCAGATTTCTGCTAGAGAGACTCTCAATAGCCCATCTTGGGCCAGGTGTCTGCCTTGGTCTCATCAGTTATATTTGGGGGATTGGAGGAATTGTGCCATAGAACCCACCCCACTGGGCAAGCCTAGGTTTTAGAGGAGCCAGACACATACCACAAGAGAGGACCTCCGCAAGTTAATGTTTCGGGCAATAACGATATCTTCTACTTGGGTAACAAGTTTACTTTCTTTAAAGCACTTTGGCATCTGTGATTTCACAATGACATTAATAGGTAGGTGAACCATCCAGATACTTCAAATGCAAGGAGCTAAAGTAATGGGATGTACGTAAGATTCCCAAGCAGTGACAGCAATGCCAGACTAGAGCCCCAGTCCCCGGTGCTGCTGCCACTCGGAATCATTCAGGGCACAGTTCTGCAGTTGGTCTGCCAGAGTTAGGATCCTGGCTCCACTCCTCAGTAACTGACTGCCCTTAGACAAATTAATTAAGCTTTCTAAACTTAGTTTCATCATCTATCAAATCTACAGTTTTTTTCCATTATCTATAAAGTGGGGATATTATATAAGAGGCTGTTGAAAGGCCTCAGTGAGGTAATGCATAGCCACTTAGCACCATGCCCAGCATATGGTAAATGTGCAGTAAGTGTCAAATGAGAGCTGCTACTAAGATGCATTCATTTCCTTAAATTTCATACAGTGTTAGTGCCCAACCAAAGGGAGAAAAGAGTGGTTTTTATTCTCTCAACTTTCCTTTCAAAGGTTCACTGAGCATAACTATTCTATCCATAATTTCCACTCCTGTTGCTCCAGCTTCACCGAAGGCAACCTGGATACCTCTTCCCAGATAATCTAGGTTTCATCTCCCCCTTCCTTCTCACGCTACGTACAGTCTCTCTTTCTGTTGTTCCCATATCTGAGCTTGAATCGAAATCCTCACTCCGATTTCAAATGCAACAAATGGCAAGAAAAGCTTCAAGGGCCCACATGTGCCTAAAATGTATCAGCCAAGAGATCTGTGATACCTCTGGGAAAAAAATACAGTAAGACATCACTGTCCCTTAAATATACCCACAAGACAGCCTTGTTTATGTCTTACTTTTAAGCGGTGTTTCCCTGATTTCTAGGTTCTTGAGCATTCCTGTTTTAGAAACCAAGTAGCATGGGAGGAAGAAAGAGGAGACATATAAAATACAGCCTTGGGCAGAGCTATCTCCTCATATCTGAAAAGATTCCTCGATAAATTGTTTTACTCATATTTTGGCATATACTTACAGAGGTACAATTTTTGTCAAGATCTCCCCTTTGATGGAAAATATCCTGGTTACTGTATACATGGTTAAAAGATCCTATGTGTAAGTTAGAGTTTTGTCAGTGATTATCAAATTCATTTTGACAATGCAACTGTCACACTAGTATAAGTGCCTTATTTATGTTTTGTATCTCCCTCAGCAAGGAGCCTAGAGCATAGCACAAAGTAATGTTAAGTAAATGTCAGTTAATGTTAAAGGAAGGAAGGAGGTTGGAATAGGAGAGAGGGAAGAAGCAAGGGAGGGAGGGAGGGAGATCTGAATAAATCAGTCTTCAATTAGATCAATTAGGGTCTTAGATACTCAGTTTTAGCCATTGACATCTCTCAACAATATGGCCTCACTGTAAAAGCCCTGCTTCAGTTTATGCTGCAGCAAGAGTCAACTGTAAACAATTCATGGAAATGTTTTAGAAAGTGATTCAGAACATAACTTACCAATCAATAAGCATTTACTGATGTGCCTGGCACTGTCCAGCAGCTTTATGGGCATCCTCTTTAATCCTCACCACTATTCCCCCAAGGAAGGAATAATGTTTCATTTTATATGTGCTGAGATCCAGAGGCTAACTGCCTTGTCTAAGGTCATAGAGCAAGAAATTGCAGAGCTCGGGCCACTCTGATTCCAAAGCCTGCGGGGATGACTCCAAGGCTGATATTCAGTTGGTGAGCCTGGTCCACCTGCTGCTAAAATATTGAAATACTTTGGTAAGGAGGCCCAGTTCCCAGCCCCCAAGGCCCTGCATCTTGACTATACTAGCCCCCCGACTCCCACCCTCAGGGCATTCTGAACCACCCCCACCATCCAACACCCAAAGGATACATTTTGACCCAGCAAAGGACTTCCAACACCCTATCCCAGACCTATGGCCACTGCCCAAGCTCATTTTAGATGGTCAGTGTCGTGCTGGAGTGGCTACTAAATATACCCTAATGTCATCACAGCTTTGTATCATACTATGGTCATATGTCTCTGATACAGGGTGGTTAAAACTGACTGCCTGTGTTTAATTCCCTCAAACAGTCCACCTTTGGAAAGGCTGCAGAGCAGCTGTGCTGTCTGGAGCCCCTCGCAGCAGCAAACAGTTCTGCTTCCATCACACCCTTAGGCCCTGGGGAAGTAACACCTGGTCCTCCGACTCACCCTCCAACACATTCCAGGAGAATAAGATGAATTTCCATAGGAAGGCCTTGTATCCAGTTCTTGAGATGAATTTCCATAGGAAGGCCTTGTATCCAGTTCTTGAGAAAACATCTCATGCCTCTCTGAAACCTGCAATCATCCCTCATCTGGTCTCAGTGTGCACTTATAAATACGAGAGGTACAGAAAGTACAGTTACTCAGAGTCAGCCACCCCCCTGCACACAATCGTGCATGTGCTTATCTGCATACCATATATACTGCTGCCAACTCCATCCTTCTTTAAGTTGGCTCATTTTTTATAGCATTACAATCAATGGAAAAGTAGTATCTCTAGTCATAAAATGAAGGTAACCTTATAAATGAATGCGCCATCAGTAAAATGAAAATGCTCAGCCCTGTACCTCTTGAAGATATCTCATACACCATGAGGAATACCTCATGTGGGGAGATAATGACAACTTAGAGAAAGGGGCAGGCTATGCAGTCAGACAGGTCAGGGCTTTGAATCTGAGGTCTACTACTTACCAAGTCATGTGACCTTGAATAGGCTTCTTATCCTTACTGAACCTCAGTGTTCACATCTTTAATGTGGGTATAATAATAGCACCTTCCTTTTACACTAGCTGAATCAAAACACAGAATCCCCTCTATGCAGTGCCTAGCATACAATAAGCATTCAATAAGACTCAGATGTTCTAAACGAAACAGGGATTCCAAATGAAAATGTGGAAGATGCCTCAACATTGAAGTGAAAAGTAACCTTTCGTATTGTGAAGGATTTTTCTGAAACTGAGATTTTACTTGTCCAGTCTATCAACTCTTTTGCTTTTGTTCTCCTTTAGGTCTTTGGATTCTTGAACTTTATTCTCTGGGCTGGAAACATCTGGTTTGTTTTCAAGGAGACCGGCTGGCATTCCTCTGGGCAGAGATATCTTTCAGACCCAATGGAGAAGCACTCGGGCAGCTATAACCATGGCGGGTACAACCAAGACAGCTATGGGTCTGGAGGTGGGTACAGCCAGCAGGCAAATTTGGGGCCTTCCTCCGATGAGTTTGGCCAACAGCCCACTGGCCCTGCCTCCTTCACCAACCAGATTTAAAAGGGTAGTACTTGCGTTTTTCTGGAGATAGCCTCACCATCTTCCATTTCAGTGGCAGGAGAATTTTTTAAGAGTTTCAATCACTTATTAATGCAGAGAGTGTTGAATGTCAATCAGAGATCTGTAATCCTCATTAAGGCAGAAAGGCCTGTGTCATGATAAATGGTACTGAAAGATGAGATGACATGAGGAGATATGTTATTCACCTTAGATGGCTAATTGGAGAGTACCTTGTTATATACACAGTCTTTCATGGTTGTTTTATATGTGTGTTGAAATAGTAGAAACATTTTATAGCTTAAAGTCTCTAGTATGTAATATGCATAAAGTAAATTAAATAGCACTGAGTTTTCCTATGTGTTTTGATGCAAAAGACATTTTAATGATTTCTATAAAATAATTTGGTGTATCACAATGTGCATGTACTATTGCTTTTTAGTTGTAGGCCCTAATAAGATTGTGAGTCTCTAAATATTTGTTTCAGACAGTTACTGTAGTTTTTTTTACTTGATGAATCAATGCTCATATGATTTAGTGCATGAATAGGCATTTTCTCATAAAACGAACATTTCAATGGTATTTATGAAAATTTTCCAGTTTGCACCATGAATTTGTTAAATGGACGTTTAAAGAAATATATTCACTACTTTGTATACTTGACAATTTGTCTCTCTGGCTTTACCCAATTATGAATGCATCATAACTAAGGTTTGGGGTTCTTTATTCCCTATTAGTAGATATTTAGTGTTAAGATATGGTAATTGCCCAATATTGATTCTATTGAGTTAGCTAAATATTTACATTCTTATAACTTTCTATGGTATTTTGTGACTCTTATCCTATGGACTGAGAACAGTAGGCTCAATAACTGTGTTTATGAAGTGCTGTTTTCTTAGAGTAATAGAGATGCAGATATCATGCACCAGAGTAAAGCTATTGTGTTGACATTAATTTATAAAGGATATTCTGTAGAACCTGCACTACCACCTAAACTTTTAAATCCTTTTTATTTGTAAAGTTAATATGTTCTTCAATCCAGTTATTAAAAATTCTCAAGTCTCAGCTCAACTTATTAATTACTCATTCTGATTTGAAAGTTACCCATAAATTAAAAATTACTTCCATGAGCCACTCCATATCCCAAAGAGAGTTCACATGAAACAACCCCCAGAATGTATGCATTATCAAGAAAACGCCATTCTTTGCCTCTTTGTTTTAACTCAATTGAAACACCAGGGCCTGACAGTGAGGGTAAGCTGAGCATCTGTATTTCTAGATAAAAGTTACTATCAATGTATAAACTCATTGTGTGATCTGTGATGTGGGAAACCTTTTAGCACAATACAGCCTGTGTCTTAGATGATATCTGTAATGAGTTTCTGGATCCTGATGGATAAATCTGTATTGTGATATCTATTTGACCTTAATAAAGTTATTGCATACAGTGCTGGCTGGATGGTGGAGAATCACAATAGAACCTGGGTAGCTTTAACAATGCAAGAACAAGGGGTAGATGCACTGTGTTTCCAATTTTTACCTCGTCCTTTTTTTATGAGCCCAGGAGTGTTCATTCATTCATTCCACCATCCTAGGACCTTCTGTGTACCCATCGCTGTGAAAGGCCCTGGGGATATGATGGTGAGCAAAAGCAGACACACACCCTACTTTGAGAAGCTTTCACTCTATTACGAGAGACAGACATGAAAATAATCATGTCCCAATTATGCTATGTGCAACAAACAGGCTCGGGATTTTATGAGAACATTTATCAGAGGGACCTGCGCTAGTTAGGGAGGGATCACAAGCCCCAGGCCTGAAGACTGCACAGGGTTTCACAAAGACAGCGTGAGAGGACATTTCCCAGGCGGAGAGCAGCCTTGTGAAGCTCTTAGATGGTAGGAGGTAGGATGGCTATGAATTGCCAGAGTGGAGTGAGTTAGGGGGCTTTGTGTGTGTGTGTGTGGGGGGGGGCTGCTGATGGGTGCATGAATGAAGCCCTGCTTGGAGGCCATGATCAGGAACTCCGCCTGTAACCTAAAGAAGCTAAGGAAGAGCACTGAAGGATTTTAAGCAAAGGAGGGAGATAATGCATTTGAAAAGATCTCAGTGGCTACAGGTTACAGAGTGCATTGAAGGAGGACAAGAATAAAGGAATCCTGGGGAAAGGAAACAAGCCTTGACTCCTAATATCTATTAGGCAGTGGGCCGGGAATGGGAGGAGGGGAACTGGCAGGAGTGCTGCCCCATCTACCTCTCGTTTCCTGGGACAGTGGCTGGATTTGACTGCTCCTTTCAGCACTTTCCAGGAGAAGAGAGTGGCCTCTGCTTCTTGCACTGTCATGTACTCTCCAAAGCGAGGAAACCCTCATAACCAGTGGATGGTTTTCACCTGCCTTAGCAGTTCCAAAGAACATATGGATTCTGGCCAATGGGATGCACTTGGTTGAGATGGAGACGTGCTTCCCACAGTCTGCTGCAGATTCTCAATAAAATGCTGCTGTCATCCAGTGAGGATGTCGCTAAGCTGCTTTTATTCCTTCTGGTTTCAAGAAAACTGCAGTAGATCTGGCCTTTTAAAAAGGAGAGTAAGCAATCAGTGCAGCAGGAGAGCCTAATTTGGAATTGGAACCTCACTGCTCGCTAGCTGTACTTCAGATATGACCTCACCTTCCTGAGCCTTAGTCCTCGGGAGGAGGTAAAGCATACAAGTAAGAAGGGTGGGCTCTGCGATCTGACCACCTAGGCTAGAATCCCTGCACTGCTATTTACCTGACTCTCCTATTACTTCCTTAAGGCCTTCACCAAAGCCCTGAGACTTTTCTAAAGCCACAGCCTGAAGGCAAGTGCAGCCTGAAAATGTAGGGGAGTTAACACCCCAGGGAGCATCCTCAATCACTAGGGGATGTGGGCAGCTCAATAAACGCCTGTGCAAAATGCTTAACTTTTCATTCATTTAGTTGCCCCATCTCTACAATGAGGACAAAGGTAATATCTGCACAGTTGGATTGGTATCAGGATGAAAAAGTTAAGTTGTGTAAAGGCACTGGAACAACTTCTGGCACACAGTAGGCACTGTCTGAGTTTGGGTTCCCTTGAAAGCAGGGGAAGGTGATTCCAGGAAGCAGGAATGAGAGAGGGGAAGAGGGAAACAGGCAAGGAAGAAAAACTGATGAAAGCGGTGTTGCTTGTGAAGGCTGTGGGTGCTTGGTTCCATCAGGGGCTCTGAGTAGTGTTCAGAATGGCTCCAGTAATTTCCATTAAGAGGCAGGAGCTAGAGTATTTATCTACCGTTGACAGATTTGCCCACACAGGTGGAAACTTGCCCACATTTGCAGGTTGCACTTGCTTGTAGACTGAGCAGGCTCCTGTGATTGCCGAGAAATAAGCCTTCGTCCTAACCACTGTTAGGCAGCGGGTGAGAGGAGGGGGACTGGTGTAAGTGTTATCGCTGCCCTCCCCTCCCCCATTCCTGGGGACAGTGGCCTGAGGAAGGATAATGGGGGAGCCCTGGAAGGTACATGCATGAAAGGGGTCACCTTCAACATGAGGGTGAACTATCCTTCACAGCTGTGGCGGCAATCAGAGGCTAGCCAATGGAAGGAAACACAGAGCATCAAAATCACCCACTACAGTGATCAGTAAACGTTACTGTTATCTCTTAGTATGTAAAATGGGGATGCAGATAATGCCACCTCATAGGGTAGTGACAAGAACTGGCCTGGTCATGTGTGGAAAGGCTGATGAACTTCACAGCACTCTACAAATGCTAGATGGCTATTGAGTGTTGAAGTATAAATCTACTCCACACTTACAGAAGCCTGAGTTTTTATAAGTCAAACTTCTAATTGCGCTGAGATGAGCAAAATACAGCTCCTGACATCTTTGAGCTTACCCTCAAGATTGAAAGACAAATAATAGACACGTAAGCAAACCAAGTATGTAAAAATAAATTTGATTAAAGCTATGAAGAAAAATGAGGCACACCGGTGGGGAGGAATGGAATAGGGGGATTAGCAACAGCCTCTCTGAGAAGGTAACATTTAAGCTGAGACCTGCAGAATAGGAAGAGTCAGTCGAGGGGAGAAGATTTCATGCAGAGAGGAGAGCACATCCAATTACCTATGGTAGGAGATCACCACGTGCCTGTGCAGGACTGAGAAGAGCAAAGGTAGTGGAGACACGACCTGTAGGTGAGGGTCAGGAGTTGGGCTGCAGAGTTTGGATGAAGCAGATCATAAAGGGCCTTGGAGTAGATAGGAAACAGGTTTTATTCTAAGAGGAGTGGGAAGCCACTATGCAGATAGACAGGACAACGACATGATTCAATTTTCAGTTTGAAAGGACCCCTCTACCAGTTTCCTGGCTTTGACATACTACAGTTACATAGATGTCAACACTGGGGGAAGTTGAGTGAAAGGTTCACGAGAATTTAGGAAGTATGTTTATGATTTCCTATAAATGGGGATGGGGAGAATGGATTAATTATCATTCATTGAACAGCTATTTGTTGAGTACCTACTCTGTGCCAAGCTCTGTTCTAGGTTTCTGGGGATATAGATTTGAAGAAGATAGACATTATCCTTGTGCTTGTGGAGAGAGCATACACAGATGATAAAATATAAGATAAATTCAAATAGTGATAAATGTTAAAGAGAAAATAAAGCAGGTGACATGAAGGAAAGCAATAGGATTGGAGGAGGATGGACTCTATGAAATGCCAGAAGCCCTGGAATGGCAGCCTGAATTAGGATGCAGGCTCCATCAGTGTTCAACCACAGCTTAGGCTGGTTCTTAGATCTTAAATGTTGGTTTGGGAAAATCTCCAACCTTGGCATAAGAAGAATAAGTCTTCACTTACGCAGAGCACTTGTAGTTTGGTGTTCAAAGATCGTTAACACCTATGATTTCATTCAATCCATTCAACAACCCAGTGCAAACGTAGATGACATTGTCCCCATTTGAAACAGAGCATCTTAAAGTGAGTTCTCCCAAAAGCAGACTCTGAGACAAGAATTCAAGTCCAAGTAAGGGGTTGGGGAAGTGAACCAAGGATGGGATGCAAGCCAATAAATCCTGCATTACGGAGAAAGTTACAGCTGTGTGCAGCTGGGGCCCAATCCCCCTGGAGAACATGAGACACAGAGCAGAACACCTCTCACAGCTAGCACCACTGAGGGCAAAAGACCTGTGGTATTTACCCACCAACACCTGCCAGTCACTAAATGGCTCCTGTGGGGAGGCGAGTACTCAGACCACCCAGTGCATGGGCCACAGGGCTGCAGCAGACCCAGACAGCTTGAAGCAGTGGAGCAGGCACTGGCAGATGGGAATCATTAGGTCAGCATGCATGCCATGGTGAGTTCCAGAGGATGTGGGAGGGCCACGGATGGTGTCTGCCACACTGATCTTTGGCTGTGTTTCAATAAATAGCTTCACTGACTTAATCCCAAGAAATGGGCTAGAACTTAAGTCCCTTTCCTTTTAGTCAAAAGAAATTTTTCTATTAACTTTCAGTCTAACTAGGATATAAATATGACTTTAGCCTCAGTTGCCATATGATTTTATCTGGCTGTCCAAAGAGAACAATTTTTAATAACAACTATAAAGTAATAAACTAATATTTATTGAGCACTTAAAATNTTTCGCTCACATAAGCTACCATTTTGGGAAAATGCAAGTGAGCATTTCCTCTTTAGGGTAAATCATTTCTTCTGTCTTTCAGTCAAGTCTCTTTAAGCATATCTTATGAAGCTGATAGCTCTTGCCTGATTTCTTCAACCTGGGCATTAAAATTCTAAGTTAGGAACCCATGGATTAACCAAAGAGATTCCAGACCCTCTTACAAAGTGGTGGATTACCAATAATAACAAAGCCTAAAATTTTGTTTAATTTTCTGAATTAATTGACAGGATAATGAGCAAGAATTCTACATATATGTGTGTGTGTTGGCTGCATCACTGCAATTACATGGCATGTTTATTCATGAGAGAGGTCCCAGACTGCTCCAGTGATCATTGGAACCGGTTTTTCCCTCTCAAATAAGCATCAGAAAGGTCTGCATAATGACAGTGACCAAGGGAAAAATGAAAGGTTCTCTCTTTTTTTTCCCCCCATTGCATTGTAAGATTAAAGCTCAAACCAATAAAATGTTGAGCACTTTATTTGGAAATTTAATTTTCACTACACCAGACAGGCAGTTTAAATGCTTTAGGCCACCTGCTGGCAACTTCCTTGGGTGGGCCCATGACAAAGCCAGTCTTTCCAAGTGGTTTTGCCCCTGCCCAACCAAAGAGAGGAAAAGGGCAGAACAAGGGGACCCTCTGCATTGTCTACAGTCTTGGGCCCCAGTGCCTGCTGGCTTCCATTTGATTAAATCCAAAAGAGATGTTTGGTTAAAAACACACAACCAAGGGTTGGCCGAGTGGCTCAGTTGGTTAAGAGCTC